AAAGTAAGATTATTTTTTAATATTTCACTTGATAGTACAATGATGACAAATGAATTATAAATAACAATAATTTAAAGAAATAAAGCTAGAAAATGTTGTGGTGCAGATTATTATTATTATTATTATTATTATTATTATTATTATTATATAATGAAAGTGCATTTAACATGTTTTACTGTGCTGTATTTCAGTGACTTGAGCAACAATAAAATCAGTTCCCTGTCCAACTCGTCTTTTGCCAACATGACTCAACTCACCACACTGTAAGCGTCTCATACACACACGCACGCACGCACGCACACACCACACACACACACACACACGCTCTCACACACACACACACTCTTCCACTGACGGCTGCCGGCTGTGAGTGTGTGTTTATGGTGTGTTGTGGTGTTTTGCAGGATCTTGAGTTATAACGCGCTGAGCTGTATTCCTGCTCTGGTGTTTGGAGGCCTGTCCTCTCTCCGCCTGCTGTGAGTTTGTACTGGATCTGCTCTGAAACACTCTTACTGTCTCTCAGACAAACATACAGATGCAATGGTTTGAGCTGCTCTCAGCCCACACATTTCCTCCTCGCTGTTGTCCGTTTATTGCAGATCTCTCCATGGCAACAATATTTCTGAACTACACCAGGGAGTCTTCAGAGACGCAGCGTCTCTCTCTCACCTGTGAGTCTCACCTGTCTCACATTCACACCTGCACACACAGCATCACGCTTCTGTCTGTCTCACCCGCAGTATATGATAACATACATGTCAGACATGTCCAGGGCACGTTACACCCCAGAATCAACAGAAGAAATAACAATCATAGTTTGATCTAGATAAATCATGCACATTTTTTGGATTGTGGCATAATTTTCTTGAGAACTAAATACATTTCACTACATTTGTTTTACTGTAAAGCAAAAAAAAAAAAAAAAAAAAAAAAAAAAAGGGGGTTTTTTTCATCACTTTTATCTCTAAGTTTTTTTTTATAATGATTTTAGTAATATGAAATTATTTTCACTGTAATACAATGATTTTTTTGTAGGCTACTGTATTACAGTTATGAGAATCTAATGAAAATAGCCTTTGGGAAATATTTTATATTATTTTATTAATAATATACTGTGCTAATATTATAGTAATATTGTATATATATATATCAATTTTAGCTGTCAATCAGTAAAAAAAAAAAGAATTAATTGCACATTTCTTCACGAAATTAATCACAATTAATCCCACCTAACATTAAAGTTTTCAATCTCCAAACAACATAAAGACAGTATATTTTAATATTTGTTTAATGACTGAAGGCGAATATTTAACTGCATTAAATATTATTAATGCTGTTAAACTGGAAAAATTAATCGTCTGCGTTAACGCGCTAATTTTGACAGCACATATATATATATATATATATATACATGTATATAATTTTAGTTTTAGTAATTTATTTCAGTTAGTTGCAAACGCAACACTTCTAACTTTTATGGGTTTGTAATATATATATTTTTTTAATTAGGTTTTAATCTAATATTTATATTTATATTTTAGCTTTATTTCAATAACTTTTTTTAAATGTCATTTTCATTATTCTCAAGTTAAGCATAAAACATATTGATGTATTACAGTAATGGGAATATGTAATTGTGATGACAATACATGAAAATAATTGCATTATGATTATATTAATAATATTATCATTATATTAATATATTGTATCATTCAATTAATAATATTATCATCATAATATTATTGTTAATAATAATAATGTTGTTGATATGACATATATAATCGATAATATAATATTCCAATATTATATGATATACATTCATATTATTATGATCATTATCTATTATTATGAGTATTATGATAAGTATTACTTTTGCTTTTGTTGTTGTTTAAAGTTTCACCTGATGAGAGTAAAAACATTTTTTGAAAAAAAAAAAAAAAAAAAAAGTATTGCAGATTGTAAATTGTTATTATTATTATTAGCAGTAGTAGTATTAAAAATTACTAATTTTATGACATTTGTGACCCTGGAGCACAAAAGCAGTCTTAAGTCGCTGGGGTATATTTGTAGCAATAGCCAACAATACATTGTATGAGTCAAAATTATTGTTATCATGTTCCATAAAGATATTTTTAAAATTTCCTACCGTAAATATATCAAAACTTAATTTTTGATTAATAATATGCATTGCTAAGAACGTTAAAGGCGATTTTCTCAATATTTAGATTTTTTTGCACCCTCAGATTCCAGATTTTCAAATTGTTGCATCTCAGCCAAATATTGTCCTGTCCTAACAAAACCATACATCAATGGAAAGCTTTGTTAGATCGGGTCTCCACGCCAGCAACATCCCATAAACCGCTATTTTAGTTCCCCTCACTCCACAACAAAGCCTTTCAATTAACAGTATTTAGAAAAGAATTAAAGAATTAAAAATATAAGAAGTTATAGCAATAATAACGACAAGCCAAAACAAATTCATTTAGGCTAAAATGAAACTGAAACCAACGTTGGGTCTCTCATTTGACACAATTAAAGTAGCTGTGATTTTTCACGAAACGTTGTGACTTCCGTAAAAAGTTGACGTCAGAATCACACAGTCACCGCCTTCAGTCACCACCCCGAGCACCGCCCACCGTCCCACTCTCCTTTTGCCAAACCCCCAGACAACATCGCATCCATGCCATTGCTGAGCAACGACAGCACGGAAACATGTCGAAAAGGTTAACTTTAACTACGAAACCAGATCGGCCGACCTGTAAGGTTACACTCTCACTCAAAGGATGGACGATCTGACAGGATTGTTACTATGAGGTGGATCACATTTAACGTGTATAGTAAAGACAAACTCACCGTGTCTATGTATGATGAAGATGTATATACATTTCAATTTCATCAGGCAACTATTTTTACAGCTACATTATTGTTTCAGCCACAATTAATCACAACAATGTATATACAATTACAAATGATTATATATAAATTGTCAGTTTGTTGTTTTATACACATGCACACAGACATTATTTCATACATGACATAGTCGTGAGATGCAAGAAACATAGACATATGGCAAGAAATCTGTAGTAATTATATGCCCATAACAACAAAATACAGTACTTTATTGAACCTTTTCTGATAAGAAGTGTGCGCTGCAAACGCGAGCATTTTTGACGATCGTTTCTGTCCAGTCTGCTCGTTTTATCGCGTTTAACCACAGCTGTCGTCGGTTTTTTTGTCTGGCAGTGGTAGCAGATATGCGATCAAATTTCTAATTTGAGGCGGTATTACGTCAATTCTGGCACCCAACATCACAATAAGATGATATTTTAAGCTCCGTATGTAGCCGAATCTGCACTGGTTTGAATGGGCCGCCTTTTTGTAAATCAGTCACTCTTAAGAATGGATATACATAGAATACATCTTCCTAACCATTTCTCAGTCTCAGAAATTGAACGTTTAGTATGTGTCATGATTAAATGCTGTTTCACATCATCCTCTGACACTACTCGCATTGCTGGTAAGAGGTAGGCCAAATAACATCTACCTCTCCATCCCTTAGGAAGGAATGGATAAGCTTTGTTACCACAAACAAAGTGTGCACCATTAGGAGCAATGAGTGTTTCATTTGTCATTTATCAGAAGAGTTTTGTCACATCTGGAAAATTGGAGACGCACTTCTAGTTTGGAATTGTTTACCCCGTTCCCTTCAATGCACCAGGAAGAATTCCCTTCGAATTTCACATTAAGAGCAAATGGATGGCTTGATTCAGTACTGTTGTATGCAGGCAAACGCCAGGAATTAAAATGAGGGTGAGAACAATTCCTGTAGTGACATACACTGCTTGTGAATAGCAATCTGCTTTCCCATGAATAATCAACAACCTTAAAAACACATCTGTAAGGATTTGACATTATCAGTGGTTCTATAATCGTGCACTTGGCACCAGCTTCACCTTGTGGTTTGGTACAATTGGAATCCCCAAAAATCATCATGAAAACATACTCTTTACCACCCCTAATTGTCTGTGTTTTGGCCTTTTCCAACTTTAACAATTTCGGCCATTTGTCATCTTTAGCATCTCTTCATTGTCTCAGCAATAGGGCATAGTAAGCTCTAAACAAATTGTCTGGCAGGGTTACAATTTTGATACCAGAACCATCAATTGGGGTGCACCACTCAGTGATAGAGGTGTCGATTACCAAATCAGTTAGTATGCTGCTAATTTTACCCACGGGAATCTTGTATGACAGCTATGTGGTTTAAATTTCAATACCCCTGTACATATGTTGATTGAGGGCCAAAATAGATACTGAGTGCATACAGTTAAAGTCCAGCTTGGTCGATTTTCAGGGTGATGAATCCATGAATCATCCCGAACAAATGTGAAACCCACGGCTAATATAGCTCTGTCATGTGACAACACTTGCAACCGTTCTAGTTGTGATTCTTGAAGCTCAGAATGTCTCTGTTCACGGAATGAAGACACCCAACCGGAATTCACAAACTCTTGCCAGTCCGTCCTTCCGGCAGAATCTCGAGGCTGGAAATGCAGCGAAGTTCCAGCTATTCTGTCTGCTGGTGGTTGTCGCCAAGGAGAGTCCTCAGTATGATAAGGCCTAAACCTTTCAGCAAATTTCTTGAAGGCCGCCGACATAAATCTGCGAAAACATAAAAACAAGAGAGAGGAAAACAAGAGAGATTCATGGCTATAAAAACAACTTTTTTTTAAGTTTAAACAATTTAGTTGGGAAATAATTTGTTTTGACTCCCCGCTACCATAGAAACTATCTGGTGACTAAACTGTAGTCTGGTGTAAGCTAAACATTTTAGCCCCCACCCACCATATCTTCATCATGAGAGTGGCCCCCAAGTCACTAAAAGACAAGGTTCTTCCTCATGACTCATTTCACCAGTTTGTTTAAGATTTGGGAGTATAAGCTAATTTACAGTGACTAATATGTGTCCATCTAGTTTTACCTAGCAACTTTACTGCTGAAGGGGTAAATAATAAGACCACATAAGGACCATCCCATCTTGGTTCTAGACCTGAATGTTGTTATTTTTTTACATAAACCATTTGCCCTGGCACAATACTATGTCCCCACTCTGGAGGCAATTTCAATGCATCCTGAACCTGATTTTGTGCCTTTTGTACTGCTTCCGTCAAAGCCATACAATATGTCAAAAGAGAATCTGACATTAAATGTACATATGCTTCCACAAAATCTGGAGTGCCTGGTAGTGACCTGTGATCACTTCAAAAGGGCTTAGCCCAGTTTCTTTGTTAGCTGATGAACGGATACTACACAATGTGTGTGTGTGTGTGTGTCTGTGTGTGTGTACCTACTTAACCATATTTTGGGGACAAATTTGTACCCAAAAGTGAGCTAAACCTGACAAAATCTCCAAAAACCTCCCTTTGGGGACATCCTCATTTGTAAAACTGGTTTAAAAATCAAGTAAACAAAGGTTTTTTAAAAGTGTAAAAATGCACAAAGTTTCCTGTAAGGGGTAGGTTTAGGTGTAGGGCAATAGCACATACAGTTTGTACAGTATAAAAACCATTACGCCTATGGAATGTCCCCATTTAGATAACTAAGTAAACGTGTGTGTGTGTGTGTTTCTCAGGGCGATCGGGGCGAACCCGCTGTACTGTGACTGCCGCCTGCGCTGGCTCTCTGACTGGGTGAAGAGCGGCTACAAGGAGCCCGGGATCGCCCGCTGCGCCGGGCCGCAGGGCATGGAGGGCAAGCTGCTGCTCACCACGCCGGGAAACAGCTTCCAGTGCACAGGTGCGTGACAGAGCCCGCCGTCTCAGAGAGAAGACACCGTCTCTGAGCGTCTGCTCTCCCTCAGGTCCTGTGGATCCGTCCGTGTCGGAGAAATGCAGCCCGTGTTCGTCAAACCCCTGCCAGAATCACGGCCGGTGCCACAGCGACCCGCTACACCAGTACAAGTGCAGCTGCCCGCAGGGATACAAGGTCCTGAGCGTGAACATGCTACTGCTTCAATACCTGATCATTTAACTGCAGCACACTTAGAGAAATAGCTCACCCTGAAATGGATATTTGCTGAAAATGTCCTCATCCTCAGGTCATATGAGATGTAGATGAGTCTGTTTCTTCATCAGATTTGGAGAAATGTAGCATTACATCACTGTCTCACCAAAGTGAATGGGTGCCATCAGAATGAGAGTCCAAACAGCTGATAAAAACATCACAATAATCCACAAGTAATCCACACCACTCCAGTCCAGCAGTTAATGTCTTGTGAAGCCAAAAGCTAAAATAAATCCATCATTAAGACTTTTTTTACTTTAAACCATTGCTTCCAGCTAAAACACGAGTCTATAATCCATAATATTGGTTTCTCCAGTGAAAAAGTGGTCTGGTCTGAATCAGGAGAGAAATCCCATTAGGCCATGACTTCCCGCCAATCAGGCAGCTTTTACAGTCAAAACAGCTCTAAACAAATATTTTGTTGTTTCTAGCAGCTTTTTGCACTCTCATTCTGATTGTGAATGGGTGCCATCAAAGGATGAATGAGTGAATGGGTGCCAGTGAAGAAACAAACTTGGATGAACTTTCAGCAAATTTTCATTTTGCACTTTAAAGTGTTTTCCCTTAAAGTTTAAAGTGAATTAACATCAACAAAAATGTTTTTAATAGTTCTAATTTCTTTTATATATATATATATATATACTTTTTACTGCAGGAGCACATCACATTCTAGAAGTAAAATAAATTGTGAACTGTATTTCATGTTGATACAAAATAAAGCTACTTGGACAAATCTACAAAAATACAGAAATATAAAAAAAATCAAATTGAGTTATTTTAGTGTTATTTATTCATATTTTTAGTTTTCATTTTATTCTAGCTTAAGTTTTAGTGATTTTGTTATGTGCTTTAGTAATTTTTACTCATTTTTTATTTTATGTTTCTGTTCAACTTTCATTTATTTTTGTTTCCATTGTAGTCATTTTAGTACTTTAACTTGAGTAAAATAAAGACAACATTTCAATTTCAATCAAATTTGTGTTTTTTTTAGTTTAAAGTTGTAATTTTGTTATCTGTTATTTATTTATTTATTATTTTATTTATTTAATTTTATTATGCTTCCAGTCAAAAGTTTTTGAACAGTAAGATTTTTAATGTTTTTTACAACAGTATTAATAATTTCTATAATTTTGCTGTTTTTTGGATCAAATAAATGCAGGCTTGGTGAGCAGAAGAGACTTCTTTAAAAAAACATTAAAAATCTTACTGTTCGAAAACCTTTGACGGGTAGTGTATGTCATCTGTTTTTTTTATATTATTATCATTATAATTTTGACCATATAAAGCCTTATTTCCAACCCTCAGGAAAACGAGCATATCCAGAAAAGCAGTCCAGCTTCTAAAAGGATTTTTTTTTAGACTCCTTGAAGCAATGAAACATCTCAAATAACACATTTCTATAAAACATAAGCACCAAAAATGAACACTTGCCCCATACGAAGCCATTCCCTACAGACATCCACAGTAAACAGACAGTAGACACTGCTTGTGCTCGTTTCGAAACACATTTGAGAATGATTTTCTGCAGGGATGCCACAGCTTCTGTCAGTAAAACTCATGTTTTGGAGGAGCGTTGGTTTGAAAGCCTCTCTGCTGGTGTTTCTAGGGGAGAAACTGTGAGCTTTCTGTCAGTGCTTGTGAAGGCGATCCATGTGTGAACGGAGGAAGCTGCTACAGCGACGAGGCTAGACAAGGCTTCAGGTACACACACACACGCACACACACACACACACACACACACGGTGGAAAGCAGTGCTGATGCTAAAGTGAATCCGAGCCCGTAGAGCAGCAGCACGTGTGAAGTCATCAGTGTCTGTCCGCTTGGGCTCCAAGCGCATCTGAGATCCAGCACAACTCCAGGGTCCGTCAGAGAGGGAGCAGCATCGCCTCCTGATGCTGTGTGCCCGCCTCAGAGACGCGTCTAGAGGTGGAGAGCGCGTTCCTCCTGCTCTCGCAAAGCAGCGCTTTTGTTTAAGGTATGGTTACACTGTGTTTAAGGTATAGTAACAAAAGCTTCAAGTTTTGTTACTTTGGTCTAAGCATGTGTCTATAGTGTTCAAGCAATAGGCAAAAACTGTATTACTATCAGTTTTTAATGCTTTGTGGATTTTTTTTTTCGAATTTGACGAATAGAAATGTCAATAAACAGAATTAATTTGAAATAGAAATCTTTTGTAATATTACAAAAGTCTGTACTGTCCCTTTCGAACAATCTATTGCATTCTTGCTGAGAAAAATTATTAATTTTTATATATTAATAGAAAAAGAAATCTTACTGACACCAAACATTTGAACGGTAGTGTACGTATAAAATATTAATAAAATATAAAAGGTATTTTATTTATATATTATTTATGTGAAATAAAAATGTTACTTAAAAATAAAGCTGTTGTATGATATTTTATATAAAATATTTTCTTTTATATTAACCATCGTAAAATTGTATAAATATAAAATAATAAAAATGTTGTATATTTATATAAAAATAATATTCATATTGATATGAAAACAATTCTTTGTGTACATTTGAATGGTGGTGTATGTTTAAATATTTTATATAAAATATAAGTGAAATATAAAAGATACGTGTATATTATTTATATGAAATGAAAATGTTACTTAAAAATAAAGTTGTTGTATAATATTTTATATAAAGTATTTTTCTTTCATATTAATCATCATAAATATTATAAATATTAAATAATATTATTATACATATAAAAACTATTAATATTAGCATTAAAAACAGTACAGTACAGTAAATTAAAGTCATGTGATAACCAATATGCTGTAGAAAAAAACCCCAAAATAGATAAAATAATAATAATTTGACCTTTTTATGACAAGCAATGTTAGTAAAATGGCTGTAAAATGTCAGGTGGTACGACCCCCCAAAACTTGTAAAATACAGTTTGAAAAATGTATTTAAAACCGTTGAATATCAGGTATTTAGGAGAGTAAAATAAATAGAATTTTATCAACTTTGAAAGTGTTTCTGATGAAGAAAAAAATCAACTAACTTGTTCTTTCACCTGATGAATTTTGTCGCTCCGTAGGAATGCCGTTTCTATTCACGATCCTGTTTATGGCAAATATTTGCTGTCGTGTGTGAATAGGCCTTTCAGCTGAAAAGCAGCATTTAAGGTCATTGAAATAATGAAATAAGTGAGATTTCTGACCTTGTGTGTTTGTGTTTAGGTGCATCTGTCCGCCGGGTTTTGTGGGCGACGACTGCAGTGTGGATTATAATGAATGTGAGGGTCATTACTGTCAGAACGGAGCGCTCTGTGTGGATCATGTGGCGGGATACACATGCATCTGTCCTCAGGGCTACAGGTGAGTCAAAACCACATTACATTACAGTCAAATTCATTAACAGTTCATTGTCATGGTTATTTAATATGAAAGACTAATATAAAATATATTAAGCTTGAAGTGTACTAATGTTATATTCTATATATAGTTTAAAATATTTGATATAAAGTAACATTAAAATGTTTTAAAATGATTTTTTATAGATAACAAAAATGTTTTATATTTTACATAAAATAGATACAGTGAACAAAATATATTTTCTCTTATTTCAAATGTTCAGTAGGCATTACCACATGCTTATTTAATAGAATTTTTAAAGAAATAAAATATTTCATTATAGCATAATGTTAAAAATGTTCTCAGTGTTTCTAGATTTTCATGTTACTCCATGTTTCTTTTTCACTGTAAAAAATATAAAGTAGTCCTGATAGATGGATGGATAGATAGATAGATAGATAGATAGATAGATAGATAGATAGATAGATAGATAGATAGATAGATAGATAGATAGATAGATAGATAGATAGATAGATAGATAGATAGATAGATAGATAGATAGATAGATAGATAGATAGATAGATAGATAGATAGATAGATAGATAGATAGATAGATAGATAGATAGATAGATAGATAGATAGATAGATAGATAGATAGATAGATAGATAGATAGATAGATAGATAGATAGATAGATAGATAGATAGATAGATAGATAGATAGATAGATAGATAGATAGATAGATAGATAGATAGATAGATAGATAGATAGATAGATAGATAGATAGATAGATAGATAGATAGATAGATAGATAGATAGATAGATAGATAGATAGATAGATAGATAGATAGATAGATAGATAGATAGATAGATAGATAGATAGATAGATAGATAGATAGATAGATAGATAGATAGATAGATAGATAGATAGATAGATAGATAGATAGATAGATAGATAGATAGATAGATAGATAGATAGATAGATAGATAGATAGATAGATAGATAGATAGATAGATAGATAGATAGATAGATAGATAGATAGATAGATAGATAGATAGATAGATAGATAGATAGATAGATAGATAGATAGATAGATAGATAGATAGATAGATAGATAGATAGATAGATAGATAGATAGATAGATAGATAGATAGATAGATAGATAGATAGATAGATAGATAGATAGATAGATAGATAGATAGATAGATAGATAGATAGATAGATAGATAGATAGATAGATAGATAGATAGATAGATAGATAGATAGATAGATAGATAGATAGATAGATAGATAGATAGATAGATAGATAGATAGATAGATAGATAGATAGATAGATAGATAGATAGATAGATAGATAGATAGATAGATAGATAGATAGATAGATAGATAGATAGATAGATAGATAGATAGATAGATAGATAGATAGATAGATAGATAGATAGATAGATAGATAGATAGATAGATAGATAGATAGATAGATAGATAGATAGATAGATAGATAGATAGATAGATAGATAGATAGATAGATAGATAGATAGATAGATAGATAGATAGATAGATAGATAGATAGATAGATAGATAGATAGATAGATAGATAGATAGATAGATAGATAGATAGATAGATAGATAGATAGATAGATAGATAGATAGATAGATAGATAGATAGATAGATAGATAGATAGATAGATAGATAGATAGATAGATAGATAGATAGATAGATAGATAGATAGATAGATAGATAGATAGATAGATAGATAGATAGATAGATAGATAGATAGATAGATAGATAGATAGATAGATAGATAGATAGATAGATAGATAGATAGATAGATAGATAGATAGATAGATAGATAGATAGATAGATAGATAGATAGATAGATAGATAGATAGATAGATAGATAGATAGATAGATAGATAGATAGATAGATAGATAGATAGATAGATAGATAGATAGATAGATAGATAGATAGATAGATAGATAGATAGATAGATAGATAGATAGATAGATAGATAGATAGATAGATAGATAGATAGATAGATAGATAGATAGATAGATAGATAGATAGATAGATAGATAGATAGATAGATAGATAGATAGATAGATAGATAGATAGATAGATAGATAGATAGATAGATAGATAGATAGATAGATAGATAGATAGATAGATAGATAGATAGATAGATAGATAGATAGATAGATAGATAGATAGATAGATAGATAGATAGATAGATAGATAGATAGATAGATAGATAGATAGATAGATAGATAGATAGATAGATAGATAGATAGATAGATAGATAGATAGATAGATAGATAGATAGATAGATAGATAGATAGATAGATAGATAGATAGATAGATAGATAGATAGATAGATAGATAGATAGATAGATAGATAGATAGATAGATAGATAGATAGATAGATAGATAGATAGATAGATAGATAGATAGATAGATAGATAGATAGATAGATAGATAGATAGATAGATAGATAGATAGATAGATAGATAGATAGATAGATAGATAGATAGATAGATAGATAGATAGATAGATAGATAGATAGATAGATGGATGGATAGAACGATAGATAGATGGATGGATGGATGGATGGATATAGATATAATAAAATATATTTGAAGGTATAATTTATTTATTATTCATATTATTCTATTATATATCATAAAATATTATAAATATTAATTAATGTTACTATAAATATTTAAAAACTATTATTATTAACATAAAAACATCCACTAAATCAAAGTCATGTGGTACAACCAAGATGCAGAAAAATGCAGGAAAAACACAACAACAACAATAATAATAATAATAATAATAATTTGACCTTTTAATTACAAGTAAGATTAGTTAAGCTTTTAAAATGTAATGTGGTTCAACTCCCCAAAAACATAATGATGAATTAATAATTCATGATATTTTTAAAGTATACCTTTTAACATTGAAAAATGTATTTAAAAACTACTTATTACATTTGAATACTTGTATCGAAGGTTTAACTAAAATATGTTGTTACCTTTTAAGTATTGGTTACACTACATTACATTTTTAGAGTATATAAATGTAAACTTTTATTAACAATCATATGTGACCCTGGACCACAAAACCAGTCATAAGGGTCCATTTTTTTAACTTATTTATTTATACATCATCTGGAAGCTGAAGCTGAATAAATAAGCTTTCCATTGATGTATGGTTTGTTAGGATAGGACAATATTTGGTCGAGATACAACTATTTGAAAATCTGGAATCTGAGGGTGCAAAAACATCTAAATATTGAGAAAATCACCTTTAAAGTTGTCCAAATGAAGTTCTTAGCAATGCATATTACTAATCAAAAATTAAGTTTTTATATATTTACAGTAGGAAATTTACAAAATATCTTCACGGAACATGATCTTTACTTAATATCCTAATGATTTTTGGCATACAAGAAAAATCAATAATTTTGATCCATACAATGTATTTTTGGCTGTTGCTACAAATATTCAGACTGCTTTTGTGCTCCAGGGTCACATATTAAAAGTGTTTCAAGACCATATGAAACCAACATTAATACAAAGAACACGATTTTAACATTTACATTTAGTCATTTAGCAGACGCTTTTATCCAAAGCAACTTACAAATCAACAAAAGAGCAATGATACGCAAGTGCTATACCAAGTGTCAGTTAGCTTAACGCAGTACACGCAGCAAGGGTTTTTGTTTTAATTATATAATAAGTCAAAAGAAAACAGATAGAATAGAAAAAGAATAGAGCAAGCTAGTGTTAAGAGGCCTAGATCTGTCTTTTTCTCACGGACAGTCTTGTTCGTCATCTGTGGCGTGGTTTGTGCAGTATTTTATATGCAGTAGTTAATGACGGCGTGTTGTTTGGTGTCAGCGGTCGTCTGTGTGAAGGGCCTCTCTGGGCTCCGGCGGGCTGTGAGCAGCTGCTCTGTGAGAACGGCGCCCCCTGTGTGGAGAGCCACGGTACTGCAGCCTGCCAGTGTCTGCCGGGGTTCGGCGGGCCGCGCTGCGAAAAACTGCTCAGCGTCAACTTCATCGACAGAGACTCGTACCTGCTGCTCAACGACGTCAAGAAGCGGCCGCAGACCAACATCACGCTGCAGGTGCGGCCCGTTCTGCAGCACAGAAACCAGCTCATCGCTGTCTGTGTACAAGTGAAAGTGCTGTGCAAATGACACAAAATAAATAATACAATTGCAAATATATGTTAATAAATAAATATTGCAAATATATGTTAATAAATAAATATATGCTAATATATAATTATATTATCACTTTGTTATATATATGTTAAAAGAGATATTTACTGTAGCCTATCTAGAATTATTTTTTCCACGTGGCAGCATATATGTGAACTATTACTCACATTAAACCACTCAAACATGCATATTAATGTTGCTATGAGTGCTCTTTAATTTCTGATAATGAGAGAGAGACAGTGACCTTCACCATATGCCCAAAATATAAAGCAAAAACAGCTCCATAATTAAATAGTTTCGGTCCAAGCATATGCCTCGGATTCATTTTCTCTGACCTTGGCACGTGAAACATCTGCTGAACGAGTAAATGTAAATGTAAATGTAATTTTAACAGCCATATGTCAGAGTAATTGTCATATTTTTTATGTTTCTGCTATTGTTAGATTCAAGGATACAATACAAAGCATACCGTGAAACACACAAGACATACGAAACACTCTCATTTACAGATGCATTGCAGTAATATGTATTATGGAAATAAATAAATGATTAACCACTGGTAATATATTAGTACCACATGGTTAATATAAAAGACAAATATTTAATATAAATATAAAATAATTCTATTAAAAATGTATTTTGTGTGAGTGTGTGTGTGTGTGTATACACACACACACTCACACACACACATATATATATATATACTGTATAGACACATTATTATTTATAAATATTTTACGTCAAATATGTAAACATACATTACCGTCCAAAAGTTTTTTTTTTTTTTTAAAGAAATTAATACTTTCATTCAGCAAGGATGCCTTAAATTATCAAAAGTATAAATGTACTAATATCAGTAAAGGCATTTATGATGTTACAAATAAGTCAAATATTATATTGCATATTATAATATTATTAGCCACCATTCTATGTAGTTGTACCACATAGTTAAATACAAGAAAAATATATAAAACAATTTAACATGTAAAAAAAAAAAGTATATACTTAACATATAAATACATTTTATATAAAATATTTAGACACAAGTTTGTTTGTTTTTTTCTGGAAAGAAATTAACCAACAATGCATTCAATTGATCAGAAGTGACAGTAAAGACTTTTATAACGTTACAAACAAACAAATAAATAAATAAAATTACGAATTTTATTACTATTAATTGCATATTTTTGCATATTATCCACTAAAATAAACATTAGTACAACATGGTTAATGTAAAAAAAAAAAAGCAAATATTTAATATAAAACAATATAAATAACTTTTTAAGTAATAAGATTGTAAGTTAGGTTTTCTTAATACAGAGATAATATATAAATACATTTTATATTTTGTATACATGTTTAGAAATATCTAGGAATATAAATATTTCAACACTATCGTTCAAAGGTTTGTTTGTTTTTTTAAGAAATTGCAATTTTTTCAGACAGGATGCATTAAACTGATCAAAAGCGACATTTAAAACACATTTATAGTGTTACAAAAGATTTAAATCTTTTTTTAGCTTTCATTGAAGAATCCTGAAAAAAATAAAAATAAATTTAGCAGCGCAACTGTTTTCAACATTGATAATAATCAGAAATGTTTCTTGAGCAGCAAATCAGCATATTACAGAATATTAGATTGATCATGTGACACTGAAGACTGGAGTAATGATGCTGAAAATTCAGTTCTGATCAGCAATAAATTACATTTTACTATATATTCACATAGAAAACAGTTGTAATAATAATATTTCAGAATTTTACAGTATTGTTTTCTATCAAATAAATGCAGCCTCGGTTGAGCATAATGTCAAAGATGCACAGAAATCTCAAACATTTGAGCAGCACTCTTGCGTTTGGACTCTTTCTCTCAGGTCTCCACCGCTGAAGACAGTGGGATACTTCTCTACAACGGCGTCGACGACCACATCGCAGTCGAGTTACACGACGGCCGTGTCAAAGTGACCTGCGACGCAGGGAATCAGCCGGGAAGCACCATTTACAGGTTTACATTACAGACCACACTCCACATTTAACAAGTCAATACACCTGCTGTAATTCACTGCCTGTTTGCACAGCTCGGAGATCGTGAACGACGGACGCTTTCACACCGTCGAGCTGGTGACTTATGACCGGATGGTCAACCTCTCTGTGGACGGAGGGCTTCCTACGACTCTGGACAGCTTGGGACACATCCAGCCCCTCGCCAGAGACGCCCCGCTATACGTCGGCGGTACAATTTCCACATTTGACTTCAAAACATAAGTCATTGGATGAACTCACTTTAATTGAGGGCAGGATTTCCATCCAATAAATATGTGTAGCCCCAACTCATAAAAACAAATACATGCAATTAGGGGTGTGCGATATATATATATCGTCTGCAATAATATCGCAATTGTTGTTTTAACGATGTGCGATTTTTGACATTATCGCGTATTTCGCAAAAACCCTTCACAACACCACTCATACATTACGTGATGAAGTCTAGACTTAAACTGCGTATGCATGTTTAGAGTGCGTTCTTTCACTGCATGATTCAGTATTAAAATACATTTACAATGATCACAAAATTTAAGATATGGTGACAGAAAATGTATATATTTATATCATTTCATATAGTTAATGAATATCACACAGAGAGTACCGTTTTTTCTCCTAAAATTACCATGATTACAAATGTAACAGTTCAATAAACAAGAAGTTAATTAAGAGACTTACGTTTTAGACACCATATTTCCTGTTTTTGCGGTGTTTCGACAACAGAAATCATCCCAAACACAGCCACATCACTGTTTTGCGTCTCTGAGCAACATGACGGTGTTTCGTTCCTGAAGGAATCAACCGTTTAAATGATTCGGTTCAATCGTAGTGACTCACTTATTAACAGTGACTTGCTGCCACCTACTGGCGGTTTTAATTTCACATTCAGAGTATCTTTTATTATTTAAATGATTTCAAACGTTTTATGTTTCAAAACATTTATGCATTTGTAACTGCATGTTAAATGCATTCATGTTCTGCACTAAACAGTAGTGAGTAAATACATCTAAATGCCACTTCAGACGCAGCTTCAGTGTTTCCTCTGCATTGCAAAGATTAATTTTGTTGATACTGATTTAATTTGCTTGGTAACAGCCCCAGTGTCTTATTGAAATGTCTTAGCTAAAACGCAACTGTTTCAAGTCCGTTTAACACAATGCAATTGTTTAAATGGGAAACCTAACGTAATGGTGTTAAATGAAAAAGTTTTTTTTTTAAATAAACTGAACAGGTTTGTAAAATAATATTTATAAAACGGATAGTTCCGGTCCTTGATTCTGATTGGTTGAGCCATGTTCGACGCTGTTGTAAATTACACTACAAACATACACCTTTGTTTACTTCTGTGTGTTTCTCGGCAACCACTTTGTTGGAACCACAACTGTTTCTGAGGAACTACATTGTTTGGTGGAAGAATACTGTTTTTATTAATATCATTACACTTTATTTGCTCTGTTTTATTTTGTGAAACCTTACTACGTATATGGAATAACCGTTTTATAAAAGCAATAAGCCCCGTGAAGCCGTGGTTTACAGTGAATTTATAACAGCTAACTCTGCTTCGCGTCGTACCTAACAACGCCCCTTAGCTGTTATAAATTCACTGTAAACCACGGCTTCTTGGGGCTTATTGCTTTATGTCTTTGAACCAGTGGCCGTCTGTCAACGGCTCCAGTTTTCAGGGCTGCATACGAAACCTCTACATCAATAACGAGCTGCAGGACTTCAGGCGCACGCAGATGAAGCCGGGAGTGGTGCCGGGCTGCCGGGCCTGTCAGGAGCTGCGCTGCGTGAACGGACTGTGTCAGCCGGACCCCGCCGCCGGGCCTGTGTGCCGCTGTCAGCCGGGATGGGCCGGCAAACACTGCGATCAGGCCCTGCTGGCAGCCGCTACCAACCCCTGCCAGAAAAACAAGTGCGTACCTGTGTGTTCATGGTGCATGAAAATCTGGAATCTGAGGGGGCGAAGAAATCAAAATATTGAGAAAATCGCCTTTAAAGTTGTCCAAATGAAGTTCTTAGCAATGCATATTACTAATCAAAAATTTAGTTTTGATATATTTAAGGTAGGACATTTACAAAATATCTTCATGGAACATGATCTTTACTTAATATCCTAATCGACTATTCGGGGTCACCCCTACTTCCGTGTAGTAATTTAATTTCATAATATAAAAACATTATTATCCAGTTAACTTGTGTAAAATATTCCATTAGCATGACATAAATCACTGCTGTACCGCCAACTCCTATTTAGGCAGTTTATAATCATAAGGCCAGATTTACTAACAGCTTGTGCCAATGCAAACCGTCTTTTGGCATTAACGAACTACTGTCAGGATTTACTAATGACACGCTGAGAAACAGTAATTTTTGCAACTGACCTTATTTGCATATGCATTTGTAGGAGTTTCATTTTCAGTGTTTAAATGAATCACGCAGCATGTTTTATTAAGGTTTGCGTTAATTTACTGCTGTTTGTGCCATTATTTATCAGCCAAAATAAAAAGCGTGTCTTAACCCATTTAGTGCCTGTGTTTTTAGTAGATTTATGCGATTTTTTTGGCATTGTGCTCTCATGCTAATTTGCCCTGTTTAGTAAATCTGGCCCCTGGTCTAAACCTGATTGTCCTCTCTCTTGCTGTAAGCTGTGTTCACGGCACCTGTGTCCCGGTGGACCTGCAGTCGTACCGCTGCGAGTGTGCGGACGGTTTCCACGGGCCCCTGTGCGCTCAAGTGGACGAGTCCCCCGGCCCCTGTGCGGCGCTCTCATGCCAGCATGGCTTCTGCGAGGAATCACCCACGGGACAGGCGCAGTGCGTTTGCGACAGCGGCTACAGCGGCCAGTTATGCGACACAGGTAAACAATGCTCATTTACACAACAAACCATTATCATAAGCCAGGGTTTCCCAAAGTGTGGTTCGTGAACCCCTGGTGGTTCGTGAGGGAATTGCAGGGGGTTCGTGAGTTGGTACACGGAATGCCTACGAGTGTATACCATTAACAAATTAATTTAAAAAAATGTTACAGGTTTATACAAATGTGTGATGTAAATGTAAAATCTTAAATGTATAAAAATAATTCTCTTTTTGGGAAACCCTGTGTTTAAAAAAAATTCGTGGAACAAATGTCATAATTGTATTGTAAATTACAGTAATATGACTTTTTCTAATCTGTTGAGTGTAATAATAACAATAAGCTATGTAAATACTACTGAAACTTTAAAACTGATAAAAATAAACGTTTTTAAAGTTAAACATGCAGATGTGCCATTAAATTATTGAAATATTTACTTAAAATCTCAGGGGGTACTTCAAGTAAATAATTTAGGTCAAAGGGGTTCGGCTGACAAAAAAGTTTGAAAACCCGTCATAAACCATAATCTGACTGCAGAGCTGGGTAGTAACTAAGTACATGTAATCTGGATTATGTAATCAGATTCCAAAAATTAAGTACTTGTAATCAGATTACATTTTAAAAAAACTTGTAATCAGACTACAGTTACTTTTTTATTGATTACATGATTACATATTATTCAAACAATAGCAATAAAATTATTAATAATTTATTGATTTTCCCTAATTCCTCTTTTTCATCTTTTAAATGTTCCTTTTTAATATAGCCTACCGCTTAAATACATTCAGAAAGTCTTCCAGTTTTGTTGACATTCACACAAAGACCAGTCATTAGTCAGGTGGATATAATTACACAGAAAATTGAAAGGCACAAAAATCATTTTAAAAATCAGTTTTAAGAAATGTTTTCTCAACATTGCAACTACTGATGAACACATACATTTTTATTTGAATTATCACTAATCAGTAGGTTATTTAACCATGTATTACTGTGTCTTTGGAGGGCTTTTGTCTTTCAAACACATTAAAGTGCACATTCACAGTATTTATTATTTACATGTAGGGATTCCCAAAATTTTATTTGTCTCTTTCACTTAATGCATTTATTTGAATTCCCTCCTGAGAAATTAAGGTGATAAATTAATAATTAAGCAACACATTTGCAAATTCACGCACAGTTCTCCGACGTTGGTTATGATCACATGACATGCAGGTAAACAAATTATATTTTTTAGTAAGTGTTTTATTTTGATTGTTGTTATTTTAAAATGATTTATTTAAATTTCACATTTTTATGATTTAATTAATTAGTAGCTTTTCATTAAACTTACGAACCCCCTGCAGTTCTTCATGAACCCCAGTTTAGGAAATAGAGGTCGACCGATACGGATTTTTCTCGGGCCGATACCGATATTTATAAATCAGGGCATCCGATGGCCGATATATGATGCCGATTTTTTTTTTGGCCGATATGTTTGCCTGATTTTCTTTTTTTTCCCATTCATCTCATAAAAGAGAGTTTGAGTAAATGATTATTGCAGGGTACAAGATAGTAATAGTAGTAGTAGCCTAATTCATAGTAATAATGCATGGCTCAAAACTTAAGCACCTTCTCAAAACAGTTCTGAAGGATGCTTTTTGTTTATGTTTGCTGACAGACACCAGTGTTTCCCACAGACTGCAAATTAATTCTCCGCCAGTAGGAGGCGCTTTTGGAGCGGGAGATATATCGGTTTCCCCGGTAACGACAGTAATCAAATCAGCGCTGCGCTCACAATCTCTACTTTATAAGGCATTACAGGAAAGACGAAATTAAAATGAAATCAAAGCTTTTCTGAAGACGGTCGGTTCTTTACAAAGATACATTCATATAAAAATACTTGCGCTGCATTTTAATTTTGACACGTGCAGTGCTCAGTTTATTCAACGAAGTATAAGCCTTTTGGAAAATCTATTTGTGGCGGTCAGTTTTGATATTGTGACGAGCCGCCACAAATAACTCAATGTATGGGAAACACTGGACACTGCTATAAGTCAAATGGCCATATAGTGATAACAAAAATTAAAAGCGTTCACAAATATTACGGTGAACGTGATTTCACCAAGTGCAACATGTTCCTGGATCAACAACATTCAAATAAACCAATCAGAATTGGGGGATAAGTTTAAAGGAAAAGTCAATTTTAGCCTTACAACCAGAGTTAGGTGCTTCTACACCCTTGTTATTCAACATCATTTCCCACTGATTTTAGGGATACATTATGGGTAGGGTTAGGTTTAGGGGTAGGGAGAGGGTTATGTCTATATTTTTGGACAATAATGTTGCTGCAGGATCAACAAAAGATGTTGATCCAGGAACATTTCTTACTTGGCAAAATTACGGTGACCGTCAGACCCACACACACATTTCATGAGGAAAGTTAACGTGCACGTTATAATCAGCCCAGAAGTTTAATCTGAATTGCACGTGTTTCTACTTTCACATGCAAATGACTTGTTGCACTTATGAATATGATAAGCACGGTCGGCATCAATTCTAGTAGGGTAAAACGTAATTACGCCTCCTAAACAGTCTGTTTTGCCCTGACATCATTAGCTGAAGCTGTGTGTGAACAAGGCGCTGATGCAGAGTGAGCTGCTCCCTTTCATGCAGCCAGAAGGAGAGAGATTCTCCAGCATCCCACAACAACGCTTAGCTGCCCCCAGACGCGCCTGCCTATAAATCGGCCTAATTTGCAGCACAATCGGCCGATGCCGATTAATTTTAACAAATGCCAAAAATCGGCCGATTAATCGGCCGGTCGATCAATCGGTCAACCTGTATTAGGAAACTTTTATGTAATGTAATGTTTAATGCACTTCAGGTTGTTAATAACAACAAATGTGTAATATATTTTACATTTACATTACATTTAGTCATTTAGCAGATGCTTAAAAGCGACTTACAAATGAGGACAATAGTAGCAATCAAAATCAACAAAAGAGCAATCATACGCAAGTGCTATAACAAGTCTCAGTTAGCTTAACGCAGTATACGTAGCAAGTTTTTTTTTTTTATTATATAATAAATATATTATAAAATAAAAAACAGATAGAATAGAAAAATAATAGAGAAAGCTAGTGTTAGAGGCCTTTTTTGCTTTTGTTAATTGTATAATAAATAAAAAGAAAAG